GTCTCAACGAAATGAATCCAAGGAGCCCACGAATGCTTAATTACGACATCATTAAGGCAATTAAATATTAAAGGAATGGTTTATGATCGAGAGAATTAATACGGATTAAATGATGGCGTGATGTAGATTTTCACTATATTTGTGGGGCATATCTCTCCCAAAAATTTATAAATAGATCTCTACTCTCTACATGAACGAGAAGTATCTTAGCTTGAGATTTAAAATAGTTCTAAGGCTCTAATAATCCTAGAGCTCCATCTAAGCACCACTGGTGGACCACTATCCAATCATCGTTATCGGACCACTGTCTAGCCATCGTCATCAGACCACCGCCCAAATGTCGTTGTCAAACATTCGCCTGCCACTGTTGTTCAGCCAACGCTCGACCAACAACACTAGACCACAAATTGACCAACACCGTCAGAACACTGCTTGATCGTCTTTGTAGGACCACCAACCGACAAATGTTGTGGGACCACCATCCCCAACTACATCCTCCAACCTTCGTCATCCGACTATGGTTCCCAAATTACTATCGTCCAACTATGATTCTTTCAACTACCATCGCCCATCTACGATCCTTCGACCTTCATTGCCTGATTACAATCCTCATTGTAGCCTGAGTGCATTCCTTCATATCATCATCTCTTGATTATTCTCTCCAACCTCCATCTCCCAATTACAATCTTCCATCCACCATTCGCCATCTATGGTCCTTTGTACACTATCGGAGAATTATAGTCCTTTTCCCACCGTCAGCCAACTATGGCCCTCAAGCCACTGTCGCCCAACTACAGTACTCCAACCACGCTTCCTTGACTAGGATCCTTTCGACCACCGTCGCCTGACTGTGATCCTCCAATCACCGAAGATCGACTATAATCCTCCAACCACTGTCCTCCATCCTCCGACTATGGTCCTCTGAACATTCACTCGACTATGATCCTCCGACCAACTTTGCATGACTATGATCATTGGGCCTATGTCACTCAATTGCAGTCCTTCTGACTACTGTCGTCTAACTAAAATCCTCCTTCCTTTTTCATTCCCAACTATAATACTCCAACAACGGCCCCCCCACCACTGTCGTTTGACTACAATCCTCTGACCATCGTTGTCTGACTACGAACCTCATACTTACAATCTTCTAACTAATGTTGCCTTGCTACAACAACACCCATTGACTTCATCAACTACTATCGCTGATAATGTCAATACGCATCAGTGCCTATAAGGCCAATGCATGTCACATACACCAGTTCTAACTCCCAACATTAACAATAAATTTATGGTATATTTTATCCCTAGTCTCCCTATGTCAAATAAAAATGACTAAACACACATCAAACAACAGTTGAAGATAGCTCTCATGCCACAAGATTCTTCCAACTTCCATAACAATTCATTCTAGAGTTTGCATTCGATATAATGTATCAATAAATTCCCCTATTATGATAAAGGACATCATTTGTAACCAATAGATGCTAGTAAAATCATTCAAACTATGTCAGGCTCTAAGGTTTTTCGACTTTTCATGAGTTTTTCATGTTAAAACTCTGATATATCATGCAACTCATCTTTTATCTATATGTGCTAGATCTTGATATAAATCTAAGACGTTAAACTCTCTCTCTACCATTGTGAATATTCTGGCATGCAGCACTCTCAATCATTTAAAGCCGTTAGAAATTAGAATAGACATCCTTTCCGTCGCATCTCTTTACTGCTGTGCAACTGAAAATTATCGATGATATACTTACGAAATCCATTACAAATTAAGACAACAAGCCAGTAGTTTTTCATCCCCCTCATCAGTTGGAATCCTAACGATTAACCATCAACCCTTATTTTGAGCTCGCAAAAGGCCTGCTAAGCTCTTTCGGTTATTCCTCGAGGTCAATTCCAGTGCCCTAAAACTGACCTTCATCGCACTTATCCAAAAGTTAAAACAAACAAGAGTAACAAATAGACAAAGAGCTAGAAGGCAAATCTTTACCTCGGCGGTTTTGGGCACCTCATCACAGAATATCTCACATTTAATGTCCCCGAGATTCGTATGGAGGGTCACCGACTGCGAAAAAAAAATCAATGGGTAGGACAAGTAGTCTAAGTTAGGGTTTCCGACGAATGAATAAATTTTGAACCAGATGTAGTTCTGATGAGAAGACATGAAATCAAAAGGTGGAAGAGAGATCAGCTACCATTTTCTTCTTTACACGATGGGATGAATTCTGCAAGCGCGCAGATCAATCTGGGCGTAGAAAGTAAAGGCTTCTCCGTCGTAGCATTATTTATTTATTTATTTAACAACTATAAAAATTATAAACCCATTGATATTAACAACTAATTAAACAGATTATGGTATCTCTATAATTATAATTTTGAATTATATTTTATGATTTATTATTTATAATGAGGTTGGAGTAGCTCCTGTAGAAGATAAGATTAGAGAGAGTCGCCTTAGATGGTTTGGTCACATAAAAAGGCGGCCTTCCGACGACCCGGTTAGGAGAGTAGAGGTATTAGATTTGACTTGTGTTAAGAAAGGTAGGGGTAGACCTAAAAAGACTTGGTTAGAAAATATTAGGAATGACCTTTCTTTATTAGATTTAAACGAGAATTTGGCTTTTAATAGGACACAATGGAGAAAAAGGATTCATGTAGCCGACCCCACGTAGTGGGATAAAGGCTTGATGTTGTTGTTGTTGTTGTTGTATTTATAATGAGGAAAATATGATAAAATAAATATATAAATATATGCTTAATAGTATAATTTCATAACTATTTTATCTATAAATAAATGGTCAAAATTAGAAAGAAAGCTGAGTTTATGCCCCATAATATTTAAAATTTGAAAAAATATGTTTGGAGTTTCATTAGGGTCAAAATATCTCACTCAGGATTACAGACTATCATTCTTGAATTCACTGAGATCAAATTTAATTCAAATAAAATTCAATCAAATTAGATATCATGCACAATAAAATTTTGATTCATGAATAAACATTCTTTGAATCCTAATAAAAAAAGTATTTATTTTTATTTAAAAAATTTTCAATCAATATTCAAATTTTTTTTGAAAAACATTTGATTAAGATGTTGTTTGAAAATATTTATAAAAGAATTGAATAACATATTCAAATAAGGTTTATTTAGTGTTTGACATAACATAACTTCAAAAAAATATCATAGCAAACAAAACTCAAAATTCAGACTTATCATATGTTGTATAATGAACGAACAAGAATTGAATAGGTTCAAAAAGAGTATATACAATAGTAAGCGTCTACAACATATATAACACAACAAATTCAACTACAATAGAGTCAACTAACACTCATAAGACAAAAAATAATAAGTAATATATCATTATGCAACCATTCAATGGTAATATTTTAAAAATTGATTAATACAAGAAAATAATTATGAAACCGATTAGCATTTGTCCTCTCAAGTAGTTCAATTTTTTGTCTCTAACTTCATTCTTCTTCATTTTTTAAGTCCTATTTTTCTTTGAATGCTAACTTGTAGACTTCATTAATAGTGATGATATGACAACTATCTTTATTTCATCTAAAATATTTCGGATATATTCTTTTTCGACAAGGTATATATTTTCAGCACATGCAACTAACTATACTTCCTGTATATAAAAATTTAAATGTAAAGTATAATAATCAAAGCCCTAATCCCGAACTTGAATTTAATAGAATAAAAAATGACACAGCATGATAACTCGACACAGAGCCATCTTAAATAATGCTAAGTTCAAGTTGACTTGGTTTACTTTCGGGTTGGGTTGGGATTTAGAATCCTAATTAGTTTAATTTTCAAGTCTAAGTTGCAATTGATCCAACATCCTAAATTTGGCCTGAATTTAATCTAGTTATATGCCATGAATAATGTGATGTGACCTGAGCCATTTGCATCTCCCTAGCTCTCTTATTATTAGAATATTGCAAGTTTACTCACAAAACCACCTCTATCATTTTGTCTTCTGCAAAGCAACACTTAGGTTTTATTTGGGATGACTTTCTTACTACTTCTTAAAGTAACTTTTAAGTACAAAGATTATAATTTATGTACTAAAAGCTGCTTCAAGAAGTAGTTAAAAAACCGTCCCAAATGAAACCTAAGAATCGAGAAATAGAATGTTGTTAGCGCCTCTTGTTTCGACCCATCACCAATACTCCCCTCTCCAATCAATTTGCCTCCATTGCCCAACCACAGGTACATGAAGTATGCAAGTTTAGGCTTTGCTTGAAAATTATTTTAAGCAATAAAAAAATTCATCTCAAATTCACTGACTCCTCTCCTCCTTGCCTTCCGAAAAAATTGACTTGTTTCCTGTTTTTGTAGCGATAAGTTGGCTTAATTTTGCATTTGGATTAAATTTCAAAACTCCAACCTAGTTTCTTAGTTAAACATATTGCTTAATAAGTATGTAAATTTAGTATAAATGATTTTAAATATCAATATATAAGTACTGCGAAATGGGTATATTCATAGAGCTTAAACAATTGCTTGGATAGTGAATGTAGTTACTGTATAATTTCAACTTTTTTGCCAAATGAAAGCATTTACATTTTGATTGTGAATATCAAAAAGGAAATATTTTTGTACAATAGCTATAAGATAGAAAAAATTCTGCATAAATATTAATGTCATTTTCTATACGCATATGAACCTGAAGTAGATTAAAAAGGTCACGGGTCGCGCGAGTTAAATTTGGATCATGCTTTTTGACTTCTTTGATGAACGGGTTGGGTTAGAGTTGAGCAAGTACAAGAATGTGTTGTTTGGCTAGGTGCAAGTATTTTGTTATGAAAATCAGTGCTTTTACTAATAATTAGTTTATCACACAACAGCCTTCCCTGCTTTTACGTCAAATCCTTTAATTGAGACATCACAACTTAATAAGCCTTTGTTCTCTCTATCCAAAACAGCCAAAATAATCTCTACCCAACGAAAATTAAGGAGAAAACATAATAACCTGCTACCTAAAGCAATAACATCACAAGTTACTAAAACAAAGAAAAGTTTCAACACTTTCGTCACCCATTGTGGGCACTCCTATGTTCTGTCGAAAACTACACATCAAACGCCTAAACAACTATTCAAAGAGTGTTTTTGGAAATAACCTCTCCAAATTTCACAAACCATCGCCCATCAGAAGAGCTGCTGTACTGATGGTGATCATCATCATCCCTGTCCTGAGTCTTCTCCTCACTAGCTATGATCCTGCTGTAATCCTTAGTTTTCAAAGGCAGGGAACATGGTGGCTTCAAGCTAGGCGCCGGCATCAGCGAGGTGAGAACCCGAGACACTTCGTGCATGGTAGGGCGGTCGGAAGGGTGCCTCTTAGTGCAAAGCAAAGCTAGTTGAAATGCCTTCCTCACAAGACCAAGGTCCATGCAAGTTATTGAAACCTCGGAGTCCACCGCCTCCATTACTGTGTTGTCATCAGCTCTTGATAGTATCAGCTGGTGCAGGTTTGCCTCATTGTCGACCGCCTTCTTTCCTGTCAGAAGCTCAAGGAGAACAATCCCAAAGCTGTAGACGTCAGACTTCTCTGTAAGTCTAGAGGTTCGAGCATACTCAGGATCAATGTAACCAATGGTGCCCAAGACATATGTGGATGCGTGGGTTTTAGCAGAAGGGATGCACTTAGCAATGCCAAAGTCAGAAAGGTGAGCTTCAAAGTTCTCATCAAGTAGTATGTTGGAGGACTTCACATCACGATGGATGATTCGCGGGTTGCAGTCATGGTGGAGGTAAGCTAAACCTTGGGCAGCACCAACTGATATCTTCAGGCGTGTGTCCCAATCAAGCTTAACCTTTTTTGAAGGTCCTATAAAAGAAAAGAAAAAGGATCATTACAAACTAATATTTTGAAATGGGTTAATTACTTGATATGGTTAAACAACAGACCATGAAGAAGATCCCACAGTGAACCATTTTGCATGTAATCATAGAACAGAAGATTGCCATGAGGGGAGAGGGAGTATCCATGCAGGCTAACGAGATTTCTGTGCCTGATACTGCCAATGGTTTCCAATTCAGTCTCAAATTCACGCAGGTTATGAGGGTACTGGCTATATAGCCTTTTTATGGCTATAGCTCTCGAGTTCTTTAAAACGCATTTATACACTGTGCTTGAAGCACCATAACCAATTATGTATTGTTCACTAAGGTTTTCTGTAATTCTCATGATTTCGTCATATGTGTGAATAGCCAGATCCATCTGAAGAACTACAAGCTTTGGAGGGCCTGAATGGGAGAGACTATATTTTGTCATGCCATTAAGAACAGTACAAAGGAAAGGTTTCAGATTCTTCATTGCATACCTTGTCCGGTTCTACAAGGACCCTGTATAAAAGGCTTAGGTTGGTTGGACTTGTAGATTGCTACCAAGACCATCAATATCAATGTGATGAAACCTAAGGTTATGCAAACGACTGCAGCCAGAGAGATGCTAACTGCATATAGAGTTCCAATGGAGAAAGATAATTAGAAGTTCACTAGCAAAATGATGCGCAAGAGAAGTTCTTGACTTTTGCTTACTTCTTGATGCATGACCATCTAGAGAACAAGAAGATCCAGGCCAGTTTCCACATAGCAAAGGATTTCCCAAGAAACTGAATAGTAAATAAAGAAAAACATATTATTTCTTTTAGTAAATAGGAGCATCTAAAAATAAATTCTTTAAATACCTCTCAGAAGGGAACCTAGAAAAGTTCTTTGCTGCAGGAATGTAACCTGATAAGTTGTTGAAAGAAAGATCCCTGAAGACAAAGTGGGTACAAGATCAAGAAAACACACTGCAGATTTTATAGTAATACTGGAATGAAAAAGAATATTAACATACAATTTAGTTAAGCTGAAGCAATTGGTAAGTTGAGATGGTATCCCTCCATGAATATTGTTTTCGTTCAGGATCCTTAAAAATTAAAATACTCCATTATTAAAACCAAATATTCTAAAAGTAAAATAACCTGGGACCTTAATTAGGAACAAGAACTAAAGAAAATTAAGGGAAATAGACTTACAAAGCATTAATGTTCTGCAACTGACCAAGTTCTTCAGGAATGAAACCAGAAAGCTTGTTGTAGGATAGGTCACTGCAAAATGTCAATAAATATGCAATTTTAAGATAACAGAACTGGATAAAAACCTGTAAATTAAAACTTAATAACTTACATTACTTGCACACTTCTTAGATTCCCAAATTCATTAGGGACAGGTCCATTGAGGTTATTCCTACTCAAATTTCTGTGGAATAAAGTAGATTAACAAGATTATCTAAGTTGCAGTTATATATGGTCATACTTTTAAAAATAATAAAATTGAACAATTGGCCTGAAGAAGTTTGCCATATATTCACTAAAACAAACAATGAATAATGCAGTTATTCACATACAGTACAAGAAGGTGCTCAAGATCGCCAATGGAATCAGGAATATGGCCAGAGAAATTGTTGTCAGAAAGATCCCTGCAGATATATATGAATAAAAGTAAACAATTTAAGACATTCAGATTGCTAATGTTGAGAATCATTCAACAATTAACTAACTTACAATGTATCAAGATTAATAATCTGCCCCAATTCATCAGGAATCTTGCCCTTGAAATGGTTGGCTGAGAAATTCCTGTTTCGTGGAAATCTTATTAAAACTAGAAAACTAGATTTATAAGTACCGAAGTGTCATTGTAGAAACATTCTCAAACAATGTGTGCTTTGATTGTGAACAAAGTAAGCTTTCTTATATATAGAACGTAGAGGCTTGACTCACAGATAGGTCAAACTTTCTAACTTCTGGAACTCCAGAGGAATGGAACCATTCAACCGGTTACCATGCACATTACTGAAAAAAAAAATGAATGAGATCGGGTCCGCGGCCGAGTGGTCAATGGAAGAAATTCCTCCCATCTCACCCGGGCTCGAATCCCCCGACTGTCCAAAAAAAAAATGTAACCAATACAACAACAACAACAACAACATCAAGCCTTTATCCCACTACGTGGGGTCGGCTACATGAATCCTTTTTCTCAAAATAGATGAAATAACTAATTTTCATCATGGCACAAAACGTAGTAGGAAAACTCACAATTGATTAAGAGCAGTGCATAAGCTGATGTTTCGAGGAATGGGACCCTCAAGTTTGTTATTGGCGAGATTCCTGGGACATCAATAAATTTTAAGAAAAAAGAAAGTATGAACAATTCAATAAGATGCAAGCTCTAAAACTAAAAAAATGGAACCCACAACTCAAAAAGATCTTCAAGTTTCCCAAGCTCAGCAGGAATAGTACCCTCTAGCTCATTGCCATTCAACTGTCTGCAGATTTAATGGCTTAACAATTGCAAGGTAGAAAAAAATTACAAAGTGCAATATAATATAAGAAAACCAGGCTCTCACAGATAGCTGAGCTTTGACATGTTTCCTAATTCAGGAGGAATAGGTCCACTAAGTTTATTACCATGCAGATACCTGAAGAAAAAGCTAACCTGAAGATCCTACGAAGTTTCATATCGTAAAGGATAGGATTTATTACTAAGTACTCACAGTTTGCCAGTGTATGATAGATTTCCAAGTATTGGTGGAATTGGACCAATCAGTTCATTTTCACTCAAGTCCCTGTAAAAGGTATGATTGTTGGTGATTTCAAACTTTAACAAGAAAACTATAACAGAAGATTACGTTAAGAAGAAGAAAAATAGCATTGGAATTGCTAAATTATATTTAGATAATTTGTTATCCGTAACAAAAACAAAACAATAAATTAGGCAATGTGTATTGCAGCGTTAATTAGTTTCTTTCCATTACGGGGAACGGCGTTTAGCTAAAAAAATACCTACTTTTTAATATAAAAGTTGAGATTTTTCATACATAATCAACAAGTTAAAGAAGGAACGAATAAAGAATTTCAAAGTAAATAAAATAGTTACAAATCAGTTATACTAGGTGTTATTTTTATATTATCTGCAACATCTGCTTCCATTAAAAACTAACTAAATGAGTCAACCATAACAAAAGATGTACCTACACATCTTAGAAATGTTTATTTTATAGGAGTGGAGACTTCTGTCTGGGGAAACAAATAATAAAACTGTTCAATTAAACAAAACGGAGCTGAACTAGATACAATTTTATTTATAATAATTAAATGATCTCTGTCAGGAAATCACCCGCAAGTGAGTTAATACTCTTGAATTCAAGAGTACAAGTACCTAATTTGATTTCTATCACATCTAGTTAGAATAAGTTGGAAAAACAGTGACAAGCATGGAAGTTTTTCAAAGGTTCTTGGGTAGTTGATTTAGTAGCCTTAATTTAGTGGCATTATTAAAACATTTTCTATGTTCTTGGTGGCAGAAAAAAATGCTTACAGGTCATCAAGAAATCATCTTAAAATCACTTTGTAAAAATCACCAAAGAAGACCCCAAATATTCGGCAGACTTACAGAACCGCTAGAGCTTGCATGAGTCCAATGACCTCTGGTATCTTCCCAGTAAGTCTGTTTCCTTGAAGTGATCTGCAAAACAGATTTTGACAGAAAAAGCAAATAAACTAATAAGTCAAATTTCTTTAGCAGTTCATGTGCAGACATCAATAAGTTTTTCTAATAAATCTAATCCCTATTTGTGGAAAGGCTTATCAAAAATAAAACCAATTAATGCTTCAGTGTTTTTCACGTGAAAGGAACGAGTGCTGACTAGGAGTAGTAGCTTTTATAGACTCTGACTCTCTTTCGAAGAATGAATATTAAAAAAAGCCAATTGCTACTGAGCTTCATAAACTAAACAAAAAGGAGAATGGATCACAGCATACAGAGTAGCCACTTGAAGGAAACCAATATTGTAGGGGATCTCGCCAGTGATTGCATTGTAAGAGATATCCCTGCATTTCACAATCAATAGTAAGTTAAAAGACAGACCATTAAGGCTTTGTTTGGGACAACTTTTTTCCTACTTCTTAAAGCAGCTTTTTAGTAGAAATTTTTTAATTTTTTACTAGAAAGCAGCTTTAAAAAGCAATAAAAAATCCGTCCCAAACGAAACCTACACTTCCTAAAACCACTAAGATGGTGAACTTCTCAACAATATCAAAGAATAGAATTTTCACGAAAGATTATAAAGAAATAAATCATACAAAATTTCAAAACTGGTACAGTTCCCTATATTCTCTGGTATAGGTCCCGTAAGGTTATTGCCTCTCACATCACTGAGACCAAAAAAAAATCAAAGATATCAAGTCATGAACATTCAAGGTAGGCGCAACTAGAATAACAGGGTTTGACTACGCACAAGTACCACAAGCCAGTCAACTGGCACATATCCGGGGACAAAATTCCTGTAAGTGAGTTACCTCGAAGTCCACTGAAAAAAAATAGTAAAGATATAAAATTTTCTTAAAGAAATCTACTCGTTTTTTTTTTTTTTGCTCTCAAGTATTGTTTGAAGCAGATAAGGGATTAAAACCAAAAAATAAGACGAGGAGCTTACAGATACTGCAGAACTTCATTCCAGTAAATGAGCCTGGGAATCTCGCCAGTGAGCTGATTCTGAGCAAGATCACTTCCAAAATATAGAACATTCGTATTAAAAACTATGTAATAATCTTAAAAAGCTATGTAGAAGAGACTTAGCAGTTAAAAAAGCTCGGGAATGCCAGAATCTCACAGTGTTTTGAGATTTGGTATCTGAGAAAGAGTCGAAGGGATGGATCCGGTCAATTGGTTGTTCTTCAGATTCCTGCATGGAAAAAAGGGTCCACAAGACCTTTTTTTTAGAGAGAAGGGTCCACAAACTTTTAAACTCCATGTGCTCTGTAGTGGAAACAGGGAAAAATGGAAACAAGTAAAAAAAACTAAGGAAGATATTAAACAGTTTATAGAGGACTCGTACAGTTCTTCTAGCTGCTTGAGCTTCGATACTGAGAAAGGAATGTCTCCATAGAGAGAGTTTCCAGATAAGTCTCTGTAAATGACAAAAGTTCGCAGAATATAGTTTAGCAAAACAACAAAAGTTTTGAAAAAGATTCGGTAATATAAAACTTGAAAGGTACAGGTATTTGAGAGAAACACAATCCCCAATTTCATCTGGGATCTGCCCCATAAGTCGGTTCCCCTTCAAATCTCTACAGTCCAAAACAACCATAAACAGCTAAGAAGACCGCATATGACTCTTTAAGGTCAAGATGAATAAATTTTAAAACAAGGTGAAGTGAAACAAACAGCGACAGCAAGCTCTTGAGCTCCCCAACCGCAGGAGAGATTTCTCCGCCAAGGTTCAGATTCGAGAGGTTCCTGCACGAACGTTGTAACCATTTCAGAATAAGCCATTTCCCCCAAACAAATAAAAGACTCGAAGAGTTCAATTTTACTCAAAAAAAAAAAAAAACTAAGAGAGAGAGGAGAGAAACAGAGACGAACAGGGAAACAACGGTGGGGGTAAGATTATCGCAGAGGACGCCTCGCCAGGCACAATGTTCATCCAAGCCCTCGGCAGCTGTAGCGTTGGCGTCGTCAGCAGAGGTGGCGGAAGGGTTCCAATCCAGAAGCAAGTTAGCTACGTTGGTAAAAGACGCCTTCATCGCCAATAAAGCCTTCCCTGGTGTTCAATTCCAGAACAGAGTTTGTTTTACCACCTCAAGCAACAAGAAATTAATCTTTGAACTCAAGAACGCCGATCAAACTAAAAGAAAGAGCGAAGGACCTTCGTTGGAGAGCGGAGCAACAGCCGGAAGTAAACAACATAGCAATGCCAGGGCCGCGATTCGACCCAACATCTTCCTCCTCTTCATGTCCCAACCACCGAAAGACGCTAAACGCTCGTAATGAGAATCAGAGCGGCGAGTAAAAACTCTTGCTCAACATTGTAGTAGAGAGAGATATAGAGTGTGTGTGTGAGAGAGAGAGAGAGAGAGATGAAGAACGGCAATCAAGTAAGGGCGATCAAGGGAAAGCGTAGGGGGTAAGAGGGCGTCGGCCGTACCAGCACAGGCGCCACCAAAATAGAGGTGGCGACAGAGACGTGACTGTTCCTTTCGGAACGTCAAGGGGATGGCGTGGCCCACCACCACCCCTACTGCCACCATAGCCTTGTAACCCTAAATATTATACTCCGCGATTCCACCTTTCCTTCCTCACCTTCGGCCATTATTACTTTGCAAACAGCTCACTTTCTCACGTAAAAAAAAACACACAAAAATCTCTCCTTTCGTTTACTCTTTTGTCTATTTCTTCATTCATTATTAGGATTATTTGTTTGAAATTCTTTTTCGCAATTCAAATTATGTGAAGGGGAATTCTTAATTGACCGTTAAGGCAAGTTAGTTGTTATCACTCTCAATATAAGTAATAAATGAATTAAAGTCAAATATTTTTAACTTACATTCAAATAAAATAAGAAGATTGAATTAATATTTCAAATGAATGCCAAAAAAAAAATGAAAACATTATAATTTCTAAACTCTTGATCATATAATCATAAATACAATATGTAATAAATTTAATGTTAGATAGTTTTCGTCCTTGAAAAAAAAAATTAGTATTTATAGAAACACACAGTAACAGTTATTACAAAATTAAATTTCACTTCAACATGTAAATTAATATATTTCAGGGGTTTATAAGCAAAATCATGCCATTTGGTATTTACCGCCTACATACTCACCGATAGCTTCTTGGGTAAAGTCGTAAATTGGCGTAACGCGGCCACCTGCGGTCGCTTTGCCCGAGACCGATACTGCTTTATTCAGACAAAACTAAACAAACCCACATTTCGCCAACCACGCCATCGGCTGGTACAAAAGTTGGTCCCTTTTCGAGTATGAATCCAAAGTATCGCCTATGGAAGAGATTTCCATTTTTTTCTCCGACTACGAAGTTATAGGCCTGTCACGAAAATACCCTCAATGTATCGCGATGTTATTTCGGTCAATGAGGGAAGTCGAGGTGGCGTTTGACGGTTTGACCTATTACATGCAGGGTGGATTGAACGAGCTCAAGGTTACTGTGATAGGGAGAAATGAAGGGTATAATCGGAATATCGTCTAATGCTATGGCGTGGTTGTGTATTACCTGCAGGTTTACAGCGGGCAGTTGCTAACTTTTGCAGAGATAGCAATGTACGCCAGCAGCTCCGGCGGATCATCATACCAGCTGACACGTGTCAGAAAAGTAAAGACTGGCCTGGCGGAAAGCGAGTGGTTTTCCGGTCCAAGGAGTTTCTCGCGACTGCTGCCGAAGTTTTTGATCATGAATAATTAATAATTAAATATTATGCAGGTTATTTGTTGGTAAAGCTATATTCGTATCATTTTTTTTTTAATGCCAAATACATAATATCCATATATTTATATTTACATCATTTCTCTGGTTTTGGGATTTTGAATATGTGGCATTGTTATTGGATGGATAAGTTGAAAAAAAAAATTAATATGTAATTATAAGAAAATTTATATTATATAAATAAACACTATAAAAGCAAGTGAAATTGCTCATGAATTAGGCTTCGTTTGGGACGGCTTTTTTATTACTTTCTAAAACGGAGTTTTAGTACAAAAATAAAAAAAAAACTGTACTAAAACTCCGTTTTAGAAAGCAATAAAAAAGCCGTCCCAAACGAAGCCATAGTCCTTAGTTAAATCAAAAGTCAAATTAAAGTTTCGTTTTGAACGATTTTCTTTCTGATTCATAAGACAGTTTTCTACCAAAAAAAATAAATTTTTTGTACTAAAATTTTTTTTTTAAGAAACAATAAGAAATTCTTCGCAAATGAAGCCTACACTTAGCTCTTATAAGTCAATATTATGCTTCATAGAATTGAATTTAAATCATTTCAATATTTTTATATTTGTTGAAATTCAATTCAACAAAATAGCTCCTAAAAAAATAGACCTCAAATTATGAATATATGCTGCCAATGTTAGGGAGTTGTCAACTTTAATAAGCACTAATAAAGAACTTGGGTTATGAATATTATTTATGATTGATACATCATCAACAAATTATCTTTATCGAGCACGAATCTCGATGCAAAAACAGTTGAAAACTTTCGAAATTGAAATTGGGACCATTCGAACTCCAATTTTAACAAACTTACAGTCAAACTGAACGTCTCGAAAATACAAACCCAACGACACCAAATCCAACCCAATCCGCCCAAATGGGTCCAAATCAAGGGTTAGAAGCGCTGTTGGAAGGTTCGAACCACAATTTGGATTACCAAACGAATTCCAAACATATTGTGTTTATAATCAAATCAAGCGGCTCGACGAGACAAATCCAACGAGTCCAATCAACGAATTCCGTCATCACTAAGACATTCAAATGTCCATTAAAATGTCCATGATTAAGGGATTCAAAATCGACCGTCCATCCAATCACTCCTCATTTGCCCTTGATCTCCCATCTATTTACGGATCATGTAACTCCAAAAATCTATAAATAGACCACTCCTTTTTCGTGAAAGGGAAGAGAAGGAAGAAGAGAATGAAGAGAAGGAAGAAGCTCCTCCTCGACCACCGCCTGAGTTCCGCCGGACCACCGCCTGACTTCGTTGCTCCACCGGACCACCACCTAAGACCCTCACCCTCACCGGACCACCACTTGAGGCTCTCACCCTCGCCGGACCATCACTTGAGGTCTTCACCCTCGTCGGACCACCACTTGAAGCCCTCACCCTCGCCGAACCATCACTTGAGGCCCTCACTCTCGCTAGACCACCACTTGAGGCCCTCATCTTCGCCGGACTATCACTTGAGGCCCTCACCCTCGCCGGACCACCACTCGAGGCCCTCACATACACTTGATCACCACCTAAGGGTCTAAACTCCGCCAAACCACCACTTGAGGCCCTCACCCTTGCCAGACCACCACTTGAGGCCCTGAACTCCGTCATACCATCAAATGACGCAAGAGTTCTGCCAAGTCACTGCTGCACTGTTAACTGATGCCCTAACTTTCAAGTGACGCCAGATTTAACACTAGACCTCAACCATACGGTTGACATTTGTAAATTGATCACCCTCAAGGACAAGTCAATCCACTGTACTTAACTCAAATTCAAGTGAAATCTTTTCAACTGTGTTAGCCCCCGTTGTTTTTCCCCATACCAGAGTTTTTCACGTAAATAATCTTGTGTTATCTGTGTGTGAACTGGATATCCGTTAAACGTTAAGACGTAAAATTACAACTCTATCACCGCGTATATTCTAGCCCGCAACAATGATAATTTTAAAATTGAATAATCTAATATAATTATTATATCAATATAATCTCATATATTTTATATTTATTAAAATTAATAATATTACTTTTAATTATATTTAATTACTTATTCTGACTAAAGTTTGCCAAGATTGATCACTTATTCAAATAAGATGATGTGATTTATGCCAGCTTTGTCGTTATGATGATAATGATAATGCCATGGAATTTTATCAACAATTGTGCAAATAATCAATCACGAAGGTCATATAATTTCAACGGTCATCATGAAATTCAAATAGAATAACATGGTACTGCAAAGGTCAGATATAGGACGTGACCCAGATCAGCTAATCTGGGGCCTATTAGGCACCGTTCAGGGCTGACTGTTATTGTCTGAGATAGCACAAGTACTGCACTGGGCTAGGGGCACCCAAGCAGGAATGTGGGTATGGTGAACAATTTAAGATCATCTCTAACCATTCGACAAACAATCGAATGGAGGCCCTCATGAGTCGCAATTGAACGTCTTTTCCTCCATTATTTGATCGCGGATGAACAGTGCGATGTCAATATTGGAGTTGCACTGTTCATCTGCACCATTTTTTGGTCTCTACCGAACTTGCGGAAGAAAGGCGCAAAAGAAAAGAGCGGTGTTTAGGAGGCAAAATGGCGTTCGATTGAAGATGAATCATGACACTTTTTGGTTTCACTGCATTTTGCAGTGAAAAATGAGATTTTGGGTTGGGGATGCCCTAATAAATTTGACGATTAATTAGGTATTTGTTGGATTAAATTTTTTGATAATTCTTATTTTAAATAAGATAAATTAAAACGAAAAAAATTTGATAAGAAAAAAATTAATTTGAATTTGTTTTAAAAGAAATACAAAACATAGATAATTTTTATTGCATTCATGTTAAAATAAATTTAATGATTTCAAAAGAAGAATTATATAAAATTTGATGAGAATATTTTGATTTTTTTTCTATTAGAATTAGTGGTGCTGTTTTAATAAATTATAGGGTTAAATTAATCCTTAATAAAAGTTAAGATCAGTACTCAAAATTTAAAGAAAATATGTTTTAGAATCATTACTCTTTTTTTTTGCTTTTGTTTTTTCTTTATTGGGTCTTGGAACATTTATGACAGTAAAGAGATGTAGAGTTTATCGTCTGAGTTTTGTATAAAGATCCAACACACATACATATAAAGAGATAGGAGTACGATAATATTAAGAGAAACTAAAATTTTTTACGTGAAAATTTCTAAAAAGGAAAAAATCCATGGAACATTGCCTAGTTAAAATTAATCCACTAGTGTTTGTAATTGATTATCAATGATGCTCTTCCTCGGGGGAAGACATTAGCTCAATATAACAAATATACATCATAACGAGCATATTATGTGGTTGGAGTTGGAAAAACCCATTGACATGTGAGTTATTTTCAAGAGAATATTGGCATGTTTGTTTGGATAGTATGACCGTATGCGAGACAGGAGGTCAGAAGGACCATAGTTAGACGATCGAAAGAGGTTCGAGTGATCATAGCCAGGCAATTGAAGGAGGTCAGAGGGAATACTAGTGAATTCATTTCAATTGAGCAAAACCCCGTGATTTTCTCACTTTTAAGTATTTTTGAGATATAAATTATGGTGTTTCTTATAATACATGCACTCCTCTCTCTTTATCTATATGTGTGTTGGATAT